CCGCATTGGTATTCTCCCGGGTTAGCGTGGGTTACCGAGCCGAAGGAAAAAAGAAAACCTTTTGTTGGCATTTCTTAAGCTCTTTTTTTTTTGTCGACCAACAAACCTTTCAAATAAATTCCTCGGCGATGGAAACACGAGTGCGCACGTTTTTTTTGCCCAGAAACAAAAATCACTTCGCCAGCCGGTGATCGTCCATCGTCGTCTCCGTCACGTAAGGGTGCTTTTGATTAATCACGGTAAAGACAAGTTCACTTGCGACGAAATAAGAAAAAAAATACCTCTCAAAAGGGTTCGGTTTGCCGTGGAGAATACAATGAATTCTCCGGCCACGTGATTTAAAACCTTATAGGTTTGAATACTTATTCTGCGTGAAATGTACATCCATTCATGTCACGTTTGACAGTAATACCATAATTAATGGACATCTTAAAAATTAATATAGTGGACTTGGATCCGAATTGCCTATAAAAAATAAATTTATGTATTCGTAATAATCTTTTATTAGTGTACATTAAACTTTTAATAGTTATCACTAAAAATATGGTTCTGTTGATACCTCTTATGTTTGGACACAATTTGGCTGCGTATCATATCATATACAGCAGATAATATTAAAAATGTGAATTGAACGATTTGCATCCAATTCACGAAATTTAAATAAATTAAAGTGAATGTATAAAAATTTAATAAGACATATTTAATATGTAATATTCAATTATGTATTTTTCATTTAAGCAAATACAATAGTACATAGGGAATGAACAAGAAAAATTGCATACGAAACAGTATTAATAAGTATTCAAATAAATTTAAAAAATGTATAAATCAATAATGCATAATATTTAATAGTTTTATGTAATGTTAATTTCGTACTAACTTATTACTGTCCGAAATCGGTTTTTGCGATCATTTTCTGTATTTTTACCCTAAGGCCAAAAGCTTTCGTTGTTATTATTCGCCTTAATATTAAATAACACTAATCAATTATCGTGAGCTTTTGTCGTTCTCAAAAGATTTCACTGATCGAAGTTTAAGTGTATCAACAAAAAAAATCACACGAAATTTACACCACAGGTAAAAACTTTTTAAGTTCACGAAGAAAGCGATATGAGAGAACATTAGCAGTGCATATTTTTTATTTAAACAATTCGATACTCGAACAACAGACACTTTTTGAAATTAATACGCAGTTATGGAGCAAACGAGTGCAATTTTATCAAGTAACATAGGGATTAAAATACGTAAGAATAATGAGAAGCAGAACCTGCGGTCATGCGATACACTGTTGAAATAGTTGCATTGTCTGGTCGTTGCACCTGGGTATAATTCAAACCACGCTGCACTCTGCACGACAAAGTTGTTACACCGTTGGTTTTTTAAAAATATACACCATTCGACTGTTAGAATTGGCAGTTACTACGCGGACGCAGCCACTAGACGTCACTGTAATCGTTTACGTTCAACTTGATGAAAGAATTAAACTTGAAATAATGGTTACAACTGCTAGCGATGAAAACCTGATTTTCGTCAGGTTAAACGCAAACGACTAGTGGCTACGTCAGCGTAAGCTCTATCGATTTGATCGACCGCAGATCAAAACAATATCTGTCAACTGTAAAACTGACAATTATCGTCTGTCGGACGGTCCGTTAAGCAAAATGTCCGGTCGTCGAAGGGATCTTTTTGATCGTGTCTCGTCCGTTTCAAGTGGGTGGCCGCGTGCGTACAACTCGCGATGTTGGCAAACACAATGCGATAACGGACTGCGGCAAACGTTGTGGTGCTCACCCCTCGCCCGCGCGTTTTGTTAACTTCAACGCGTTAAAATCCCGAAATCGTAGTGCCACGACAAAAAAAAATAATAATAAAAAACTATTAAAAACTATTTAAAACTATTAATTTTATTTTTGGTATTAAATTTTGCATAAATATTAAACAACAAGATCCCGCAACATATGCCAAAAAAAACAAGAATGTTAGTTCGAAGAATTATTATGCATATCGATTGATGATTAGACGCGATCCGGACAAAGTTATTCTATGAGGTCATGAGCTTTTGTCAAAAATTCATGGTCGACATGTATGTAAAGATAGAGAGCGAACGATTTCGATACTTGCGATTCAATCAAAAAAAAGCTGCGTACGGAAGATACCCAAAACAATTGTTAGATATCGATGATGGGAAAGTTACTACAGATGAAACGGGATGTATAAAATTACCGACCGATTTCTGCACAATTATCGATTCGCAAGATGCTCTCATTGACCAGATATTTCCCAGTGTACACAGACAATACACAAATCATGAGTGGCTGGCAGAAAGAGCAATTTTAGCAGCAAAAAATATGGGCGTCAACGAATTGAATCTCAAGATACAAAATTTGTTACCAGGAAACTTGGTGTCATACAAATCTATTGATACAGTTTGCGATGCTACTGAAGCTGTAAATCGTCCAACAGAATTTTTAAACTTATTGGATTTACCAGGCAAGCTACCGCATAATTTACAACTGAAGGTTGGATCTCCGGTTATTTTGCTTCGTAATTTGATTCCACCATGGTTGTGCAACGATACGCGATTAGTCGTTAAAAAATTAATGAAAAATGTTATCGAAGCCATCATTTTAAATGGCAAATTCCGAGGTGAAAATATATTATTACCGCGAATCTCTATTATACCCACAGATGTACCAATACAATTTAACGTTCTCGATTTCCAATTAAATTGGCATTTACAATGACTATCAATAAGTCTCAAGGCCAATCGATGTCTGTCTGTAGCTTGGATTTGAGCACATCATGTTTTTCACACGGAAAATTAAACATGCTCTCGAACCATCCAGTTTGTTTGTGTTGGCGAAATATGGAATAATAAAAAATATTGTACACTCTATTACATTAAGGGATTGATATTGTTTTTTACTAATATTGTCATAATTAGCAATGTATATAATATGTATATAATGTATATAATAAATTATTAAAAAAATAAATGTTTGATGGTTTTTCATTTTTATATTTCGTCATCGTTCACAGCACCCCATACCTCTTCCACTTATATACCATATCCTTACCCACCTATATTAAATTAGTTTTTTTTTCTAACAAAATATTCTCTAGAAATAATTTATATGACAAAACAACGTTTGTCGGATCAGTTAGTATGCAATATAAAATTTCGTATTTACTTTATTGTCTCAAACAAATTTATAGCTCACTTACGGTACTTCTAGAACCGCTCAAAAAATAATGTGCAAAAGTTATGAGTCCTGATTATTATTATTATTACTATCCTATTGGTTTTGTGCTCGGCGAATAGTGCGAAACCCGGGTCTCCACGACGACCGAGCGAAGAATGCACGTCGTCGAAAAACGACTGTAATTAGTTTTCGAAAATATTTCCATTTGCACTTTATTAACCCCTTTCTACCCGCCGCCGGTCGCACAGTTCATTCCTCGGGCGCACACTGCAGCCCCTCGTCGTATACGTTTCGCGCGTCGATTCAATTAACTCGCCGGCAAAACGTCATAATCGGATTACCCCCGGCGTATTATCGCATACGCGTGTGTGAGCGCGTAAGGGATGACGAGGATATATCGTCAAAAAAACACGGTGATAAAGTCGAATTCCGCGGGGTGTACTTCGATTAGCAGCAGTCCTGCGACCGACGGCGCCCCAATGAATTTCTAATAACTCGTCCAGTGACTTGTATAGAAACTGCCATTTCACCGTGACATTTACGGCAACCCGCCGAATTAATCCGACGCGACGACAGTACAACTGGTGGTGCTTGCGGGGAGAAGAAAAATTAAAAAAAAAAAAAAAAAAAAAAAAAATAGAAAATAAAAAACCAATAATCGTTACGTTTCAGTCTACTTTATTATTTATACAAATAACCGGATAAACGCAGCGATACGCTACCGATTCGACTGGTATTATATCGTATAATACAACGTATACCGTTGCAATCGCCTCGCGCGAACGTTTCAACGAATTGACGACAAGCGTGACCGATTGCTTTGAAAAACTGTCACGAGTGTTTTATCAATGTTTTATCAATGGTCGTTACGTTTTCACGGTCGATTTCGTGTTTTATCGGCAAATTTTAATCCACTCTGTACGAACGAAAAAATCACCCCAAGGCGGCCGTGGGAATTATTTAAAAGTTTTGACGAATCTACGTGAAACGCTATTCTCTCTCTCTCTCACTCTCTCTCTCTCTCTCTCTCTGCGTGTCCGTATTCGATGGTTCACATAATTAGAAATCATTTAACATGCTAATATATACGGTACAAATTACAATCGCCGTATTGTTAACTCAACAGTTCGTTAAAACCGTACACATCCTCGTACGAGTAGGTGTATTAACGTTACGTTCGAAGAACATCTATTGTCCGTCGTCCAAGTAGATAAAACGACATAAGAAAACTAACGGTGCGGTAAATAAATGTACGCGCGTATACAATACGCATTACATGGGTGCATTTACGCGCTCGCTGGCACTACGAATCGTTACGAAAACGTTGTCCGCTCGTTTTTGTATTGAAATCAGGGGCGGATTTTATTACTCACCAAGGGAGGGGCTAATGGAGGTTCAAGAGTTTGGTTAGTTGTTTTTCAAATCCAAGTAAAATTTTAAATTACAGAATATGTTTTTGAATCCTTCATAAATAAGTCATTTTTTCACAATAGTGACAAATTTTAAATAGTTACATTATTGGTATCAGTAATCTGAAACCATTTTAAAAACACAGGTATACACATATAATTAACAACAGAAATGAGCTATTTATTTATAAAAAAATATATAAAATAGATACCATGTTCATCAATGACGATTGACGATATTTTATAATTAATTATCAATATATCATAATACTTGGCTTTGTAAAACAGTTAGCTTATGCTCCCTTAGCAAGCCCCTTAAGCCCGCCCCTGATTTAAATAGGGCGCAAAATACCGCGCAACAATGTTAACGATGTTTTTCGTTGCACAGGTTTGGTTCCAGAACCGCAGGGCCAAGTGGCGGAAAACGGAAAAGTGTTGGGGACGGAGCACGATAATGGCCGAGTACGGGCTGTACGGCGCTATGGTCAGACATTCGTTGCCGTTGCCGGAAACCATCCTGAAGAGCGCCAAGGAGAACGAATGCGTCGCGCCCTGGTTACTCGGTAAGTGAGCCGCCGCTACGAGTCCCGTCGTCCCTGTTGTCGCGATCACCGGCAAATCGGTTGCCACGGTGACGCTGGAACGAGCCGCGTGAATTAGCACAACGTCCACATTGTTCGGATTCGTTTCCCGTCACGGCGTGCCCATTGTTTTACCGGCGCGCGATGGCCGACCGACTCAACGACCGCGGAACCGTATTCTACCCTGGCGCGTTTCGGTGCAAGTGCCCGCGCGATCGTAATTGTTTTACGTTGATTCGGTCGCGCCTCCGCTCCGTTCAGAACGCGAACGAATCCTATTATAATATCTCTTACGAAATCCGATGGGGGAAAATTTCGAAAAAAAAAAATAAATAAATAAAAACTTCGTATTGTTACGCCGCGTTACGTGTACATTGGACGTCGACGTGCGTTTTCCCCCTTTAAAATGGCTGCACGCTCGCAACGTAATAATATATCAATATAAACGCGTGCACCAACGGAATAACAACAGATTTTACCGAAGATCATACTCTACGGCAACGGTCATCTTATCGACAACGTTACGCAACGGTTTTAAAACTTTTTCGAGATCATTTGTTGTTCGCCACCGATACCGGTGGATTTCTTGGTTGGTAACCGTAGTAGAACGTTCAAGATGTAATGCGAGTGCGCGCAAAGTTAAAAACCTTAAAACGGTTTCTCGGAACCCCGTTAACGCGTGGTTAGGTTAAGTTTGAACAATCGCCCCCTCTCCCATCTTCTCTCAGTTATATCTGACAGCACTTGGAACTCATTCGCGGCCGTTAACGTTGCAGGTATGCATCGCAAGTCGATCGAGGCGGCGGACCAGTTGAAAGACGACAACACGGTGTGCAGCGGAGCGAGCCAGAAGAGCGACAAGGACGATGAGGACGACGAGGACGAGGACGAAGACGAGGACGACGAGGAGAACCCCAAGAGGCCGGCGTGCAGGACTAGCCCCGAGACGGCGACGGATATGTCGCCGCAACGGCAGGATGTCGCAGCCGCGCAGGATCGGCAACAGCAACAGCATCAGCAGCAACAGCAACAGCAGCAGCAGCAGCAGCAGCAACAGCAGCAGTGCGCGGCCAACGCAGAGGCGCACCGGCGGATCCAGCAAGAGATCCAGTCGCAGATGGAGCAGCACCACGCGGCCGTCATGCAGCTGGCGGCCAACCGGGCGCAGGACTCGGAGGAGTTCCGGAACAACAGTATAGCTTGCCTGCGGGCCAAGGCGCAGGAGCACAGCGCGAAGATACTCAGCCTGTCCGCGGACGCCCTTATGCTGGTCAACAACAACGGCGGCGGGTTCCGGAGCAGGAACGCGGCCACGGCGGTCGCGGACGCGGTCATGGCCTCGGGCGGCCACGCGCTACAGGCCGACTGCGACGCGAACGCCAACAACGTGAGGGGCGTGAACCACCACCATCAACACCAGCAGCAGCAGCAGCAGCAGCAGCAAGTGCACGTCGGCTCCGACGCGATGGTCACGTCTTCCGACACGTCGTCCTCGATGTTTTAATCGATTAATTTTTTTATTTTTTTATCTTCCCTCGTCGCCACCGATCGCCGGTTTGAGTTCGGTCGGATGTTTCGCGTCGGCGTTACGCGAATCGTTTGTACAACCGAAACGGTTTCGAACGCAATCGCTAACGGTATGCTGATCATGCTCTCGTTCGGAATTTGAAAACCTACGAACCAGACCGAGTCGATTGAAAAAACCCGATTCGTCATGTTCGAAGATATAAAAAAAAATCCAAAATCCGACTCGACCTCGGACCGTTTTGTGTACATATAGACGATATCACGAATGGTTGTAATCAAACGAATAGCGAAAACGGATCCATCGTGACGAACGGGTTCGCGATAAGATAGTCGAACGTTTCGATGTTTAAGGTATTTCATTTGTTTTACTTTTTTTTTTAGATTTTTTACGTTCGCAACCCAATTTCAATTCTTAGTCGTTTCCGTTCGCTGCTCCGAACTGTAATATTTTAACAGTATCATTTTAATGTTACACCGCACAACCGTAGCGCCATCTAACCGCCACGGTACGTGAGCGGTACGGTTGATGTTTATTTTCATTGCTATTATTTCGTTTTTACATGTAGAACGTTAAAAAGTTTTTTCTCCACGCATTATGTGTTACGTGGATTATGAATAATATCGGTTTCGATTTTGCGTAGCCTAAATCCTTACATGTACATGTGCAGTTCATTTGCAACGTTTGTATACAAATTTGTAAAGATTATTTATCGTGTGTTGTTATTTAAAATTTATACATATTATTATACAATTATATAATATATCCATACGTACGTGCAATAATTCGTAATTTTTTTGTTTTTTTTTTTTTATAAATATATATTATATACACATTCTCTTGTACAAATCGACTTTTCTAGGCTCGGAAAAGCTATACATTTACATTTTATTTACAACATATTGCGCATTTTAAACTGTAAGAATATTATCCTAATTACGCTTGTTATAACTCAATCCTGTCTCCCTACCCGCATACAACCCTTTTCGTATATGTATATAAAATAAAAAAAATAATAAAATAGTAAATAATACGTACCATAGCATATTATTATGATCATTGTAATTTTCTTTTCTTTTTTTTTTTTTTGTTCACGTATATTATTATTATTTTTTTTTTTTTTTGGATCTCATGCGTATACTTTCGTATTAATTTTTTAGGACCGTATTTTATAGGAAAGCGTTTCGCTGTAAAAATAAAAATAAAACAATTGTATTGTAATGTAATATATCCCGAATAGAACTCTTTTTATGTTTAATGCTATATACGCATATAGATAATATACTATAGATATTAGATTTAATATGTTGAAGCTAAACTACTGACATAAAAATTACGGATACTAATGTTTTACTGTTCATATAATCATTGAAATATAATCTGTTTGATGAAAACGAGTATTCGTGTATGTTGTATAAATCATAAACACTTAGCCAGCATCAGATTTAGGTAGCTGCGTGGTCCTCAAGCAGAACGCATACACACGTTGGCTGGGAGTTCAATATAAACCGAACGACACATAATTTGCTGATCGAAAAATGAAACGGCAATCGATATTTTCTTAAAGTGTGCTTGTGCACACGTAAAATTGAATACGTTACCCTGTGCCTATTAAATGATCGCACTACGCAAGGCCGTATCTAGAAATTTTTTTCTGGGAAGGGGGTCCAAAACATTTAAATTGTAATTTTATTGAATTTAGATTTTGACTTTTGATATTTGGTTAAAAATAAGACAGAAAATGATTTAATATTCTTTTATTAAAACTAATATCATATTTTCATATGATATTATGATATAAAACTAAAAACAGTCAATGATTAATTGGAGCTCAAGTCATTTTTGACATTTATGTTGGCAATAAAAATAAATAATTATTTTAAACATTTGTAAAATAATGAAGAAATCTCGGAGGAGGTCCAGACACCCTGAACTTCCCCTCAAATACGGCTTTGGCACTACGGGTGGACGAGGTCCAAATTTACTCATCCTAAATCCGGCCCTGGTATTAACCGAGCATAACGTGTTGGCTTGTCGAATGACCGGCGTCGAGCCACGGTGGTATTTACTTGCACGGTCGCCTCATCAGTTCTGTTTTATAATTCACTCGCCAGTTATTGATGCAAGCACAGCGCAGTGTACGTACAATTGTTTCACAGGCGTCTGGCCGTGGCTGAAGACCTGAACGAATAACGTATAACGACGCCAACAATTGCTGTTGGTTTATGGAGAAAAAAAAAAAAAAATTGAAATGTGAAAGAACGAAAAAATCCCATGGCCATGCATTGTTGGTGTACTGCGTTCGTTTTATACGATTCAGAAGTGTAATAATATTTTAAACCTAATATAATGTTAACGGGTGTGCGAAATCACTTGAAGTAAAGATTCAAACTGCACTCATGTAATCTACTTTTACTAAATTTTCTTCGTATGTTGCTCTCGTCCGTAATCGTAAACGATTATCTCGTTGATTAGTTAATAATATGTTGTCCGAACTGTTTACATTGGCGCCTTTTTAAGCGCTATTATGTTGAAATGTTATAAATTCATATGTTAAAACAGGAATTGTAAATAGGACTTGTATGACACCAATAAAAAAAAAATTAAAAAAAATTATATTTTGCTAATAATTGCTTTTGTTAACACGATTTATATAGATTTATGTGTATTATCAAAGAAAATTAGTAACATTATTAATGGATTTTTTAGAAAATATCAATTTAAAATTAATATCAATAAAGAAGAAACAAATTGTAAAAGGAAATCAACTATAATTGTTTGTTAGAAACATTTTGCTTCATATTACTTGAGAAATTTTCTATGTCCGGTTAGGTTAATGATGTGTCCGCCTGCAAGGTAATACATATTGCCGAATTCTCCTCGGTTAATCTATTTATAGTCTTTGAGGAATGCACATGATTTAGTACAGAAAACAGAGTATCGCAAACATAAGTTGAAAAAAAGACCGTTTAACAACGGGATCGTAAACTTTTTGACTATATAAAAAGTGTCTGGAATATTATTCCATATTTTTAATTTTGTATACCGAATTATTTCATTTCGTTATGCATTCATTGATGTTCCAATTCTTTGATGCACTTCCGCATACTCACAAATTTTTCTGATCGAATTGGTTTAGTTAACAAATCAGGCACTTGTGTACTGTATTACTACTTACCGTATTACTACTCTCAGTGGCGTAACCATGGTAGGGGGCTAATGTGCTATGACCCTCCTCATCGTTCGTATCAACGTATTTGTATAATTATACGAGTATTATTGTTTATTTTATACGTATGAAAAATTCGTTGAATTCGGTTTTGCTCTTAATTATTTTCAATTTGTTTGATAGTAAATTTATTTTCAACAAATCCGAAAAAATCACAAAAGAAGTAGGAATCAAATTATTTTCTTTAAAATCTCATTGACGTCTCTTATTATTCGATTGGTTAAAATTAATTTAATAAATTTAAATTTAATTAATAAAATAAAAACACGTTCAACTCAATATAAAAATGAACTATTCTTGTTAATTGATGATTATGTTTTTTTTTTTAGTATTTTGGGTTTGCCCCCTCCCCCCAATTTTAAAATCCTGGCTATGTCACTAACTACCTTAATATTTCAAGGAAATCATAAGTATAATAGAGAACGATTGAGTAATGGAGAGATAATTCCAAATAAAGATGACAATGTATCAAGTAATACTTACAATATCGATGATCATTTAACAAAAATATGGTGGCGGTCCATTAGTACGAAACACGTTTTCTGCGATGTTGACAAAATAGTACATAACGACTTAAAGCAATATCATAAAATACTAAACGATGATGATCGTCACTCATCAGAAATGCCTTAAGTAAATTTTAATTTGATATATTTTTACTAATAAAATACGGTGAAAAAATATTCGTCGAGTTTTTCGGTAGGTAATATTTTACGGTAGAAGGCGTAATACACCAGCGGAGTAGCGGCAAGAGTAGTGCCGGAGATTCATTGAATTTATACAATTTCTAATGGTATTTAATTAAGACGATTATTATTAAAATCTTTCACGTTAAATAAATCAGGATGGTTAACAATTTTTATCGATTTTTCAATTCTTTTAAAATCATAAAATCGTTGTGGCTACTATACTTGAATAAAACCAGGAGTACTGGAAAATTCATGGCTAAGATCCAAATTTGTTTGCTCAAAAATATTCACATCTTCTCACATTTTTTTTAGTCTTGGAAAGTTTTCAAATGTATTCGTCCCAGTACTAAATATAAATAATAAAGACAAAATGTCGTAAAATACAGATTATTAATACACATGTAATCGATATTTCAATTTTGTCGATAAATATAAGTCTCTCGTAACAAGCTCGTCATACGTGCCACTTATTTGCCATCCCTGTGTCATAACCAATGTTCACAACCAAGATCTACAACAGTGATGAACGAGTGTACGGTAACCACTTAAATAGGTTAGCGGATCGAAGAATTATTTCGTTAGAGTAAAAAATTCTAAAAAAAAAAATCTATAAAATAAGAATATACAATATGAATCCAGATATAAATAATTATCGAAAAAAAATAAAAAATATAATACATTTTGCTGGCAATAAAATCAACACGCGTTGGTTATTTTAAATTCTTGTATTATGTTACTCGAGTATGAATTATTTACTTAGCTACTATAAATTAATGGAGGATATATTAAGATATATTAAATATCGACGAGTAAGATGACAACTATTCAGTATTATAATATAATACTATAAATATGTAAATATTATTTATATATGTATATAGTTAAGCTTCCAGAAAATTAATGTATTTCTGTCTATGTTTTCGGAGGCGTTGGAAAACCGTTGAACTGGTAGTTTGTAAAATACTTCGGCACCGCTGTCACTGATGACCCGAGGAATTTTCCGATCCGTAACGTTTTGAGTGTCTCGAAATATTAACGCTGACGATGGCCGCGCAATCCCGCGCGATCTACTGTTTCTGATTCGGAGATCCGACAGTTTCGCCGACGGATTGTCGTTCTCGGACGTTTTTCGTCCGCAAACGCAGAAACACAACTGTACGACCGGACGCATAATCTTGCGCTTGCGGTCCGACAATTTGACCAGTGAGCGGTCAACGCACACGCGCGTTTACCGCTAGAAAGTAGAGTCTTATATCAAATTTGTTTGGTTTTTTGTGCCGAATTCAGCCATGCATGAAGTAACGTAAACGGATAAATATAGAACGAGATATATGAGAAAAACCAATATGTGCCATTTATGGGACTCTATGCAGAAAGGGGTTAACCCTTTTAAAAATTACCGCGAAATTACCGCGGTTTGAACGTTTGTCCGCTGGCGCACGGCACTGGACGCTTAACAAAACGAGCCCGTTCATAGGCGCAACTAGGGTTTTTAGCACCCCCGAGTTTAAATGTGTAGCACTTCCGTTTTTTCAGATCTATATTATCTATAGTAATCACAGTTAAATACCATTTTATTTTCAGCAATTTCAGCACCCCCAATATTTGGGCTGTAGTTGCGCTCATGCGCGCGTCGATAAACGTATGGCTAACACCGGGTGCATAGTTATCGCGCTACATTGCGGTCAAATCGATCCTCCGCGGAACCGATTGACCTATCAGTTTTCAGTGTTCACGAACACGTTCGAAGCGAGTCGTATCGCGTACAGCGTTACAGCGACCCGAAAAGCCGGAAACGATTTTGCGACGGTTTTTTTCGTGCTCGGCGTACAGGATACGAAAACAAAATTCTCCACGTCGAATAAAAACTGAGCCGCCGCGGGACTAACCCGGCACGCGGGTGAAACATCGAAACCGTTTCGTGTGGATTGCGAACGCGAAAGGATTGTTTATTGAACGGAAAACATCGCGCGAATAAAAAAAAAAACGGGCGTATACCCGTACACTCGTGTGCACGCGAAAAAAAAACACACCTCAATACCTTAACTACGAACGTATTGTTTTACGTTATAAAATTACTTTCGACTTGAATCACATGATTGTGCGTCATAGTAG